CCAAAATCAAAGTAGACTATCACTCACCCACACCAGATGGAAAACTCTACAGACTGTCGGTTCACACCCCATCACAAGCCAGCAAAACATCCACGAAACAAAGAAAGGTCTGTCACAGCCAAAAAATACACTCCAGACACGCCGCTGGTAGATGTCTGTATGTACTGTATATATAAACCCTGCAACCGGATAAAAGCGCAGCCTCCTCCTTGTGAACTACCCTTCAGCGCGTCCTCCTTCAGGGCGTCCTCCCGACTGTTTCCTGAGCGAAGTTGTGCTTGCCCCTGCCTGATTCTATCGTATCTCTGGTTTCCACCGGACTGCTGCGGGGCGTGGCAATGGCTGAGGATGGCCATCGCAGGAGCGGAGAGGGGGCCTCCCCTGGAGGTGGCTCTGACGTGGGCGGCAGTCCATCTTCGGTCAAGGCGCTATCATCGTGGGACACAGCAGCGGAGTTCTTCAACTACTACTCGTCCATGAAGGATTACGTGGACAGCCTGGTTGCCGATAGCGTCGGACAACATGTGCATAGGATTGCTGCCACGTGTCCTTCGCCAATTGTGCTTGACGTGGCCGGTGGCACAGGATGGTGCGCCATCAAAGTCGCCCAACGATTCCCCCAAGCGCAGATCACGGCGACTGATTTTAGCTCGGCTATGGTGGAGTTCATGAAGCGCAACATAAAGGAGGCGGGCGTCGCCAACATCGTCGCGAAAGTGATGGACGGCCAAGATATGAAGGAGGTAGGGGACGGGAGCGTGGACGTGCTGACGTGTAATTTCGGGATCAATTGTTTTCAAGACAGGGCTCGAGGATGGCGGGAAATTCAGCGCGTGCTAAGGCCAGGAGGGCGGGCGGTGGTGGTCACGTGGATGACTATGTCTCCGCACCTTCTCTCTCAAGAAGCTTTGGCCAAGTACGACGAGGAGGAGAAGAGGAGAGGAGTGGATGTAGGGGTAGATGAGAAGAAGCGGAGGGCGGAGGCAATGGAGAGATTGATGCACATGATAATGGGGCTTCCGTCTCGTGAAGCCGTGACCGCCGATCTCGCATCTGCTGGCTGTCACTTCTCGTCCGTCGAATTTTATGAAGTACGTCACTTGTGGGAGGACATGCCAGAGGGGGACATAGAGAAGGTGACATCTTCACGGGGCCCATACTTTTGTGGAGTATCTCCCGGATTCAAGGACATCGTCGCAGGGAGAGACATGCAATTAGTGATGTCGAAGCTGGACGAAGTGATGAGATCCCGCCTCAACGAGAAACGCAAAGTGGCTGTTCCGTGGAAAGAGCTCTTTACAATTCTCACCAAATGAGAAAAGACAAATAAAAACCGAAAACAAAAAACAACAAAAACAAAAAAAAAACGCAATAACAGAGTCTAATAACCACAAGAAAAAAAACGAAAAAGCAAAATAGTAAATGCGAGAGTGAAATGAAAGACTGACCTTGCGGCCCCTGAATTTGCAGCTCTTTGACATTGTAATTCTGCCTTGGGCACTGGGCCCTAATAAACCTACTGTAATAAAAAAAAAAAAAAAAAAAAAAAAAAAAAAAAAAAAAAAAAAACCTGACTTGACGCCCGCCACCTAGAGATATGCCGTTGGTCCCCCCGACCTAATGGCATTTTCTTTTTCTTTCTTTTTTTTTTGAAATGGTTGGTTTTACAACTTTACTCATCAAGTTGGTTTTACAACTTTACTCATCCAGTTCCATCATCTGGATTCGAACACGGGTCTGTATTTTCAACAGCTCATCGGTGTACCCACTGAGCTAGGCTCTTGGGTCCGAGTGGCATTTTGACCAAAGACTGCCGTAGGGGCGCTCAGAAGTCAGACCTTGGCCAGAGTGAAATGACAGACTGCCGCAGGGGCGCTCAGAAGTTTATAGACCTTGACCAGACGGTCCTTGGACACTGCCTGGGGTAGAGCTCAAGTAGGGAACCCTAGGCACAGACCCCTGTCGAGATGGGCGCTGTAGGGTCTACTCACGAGGTTGGTAGTCCCTCAACCAGAGCTGGAAGGGGTGCCTGCTCAGGGTAGGCATCGCACCCTCAACCAGGGCTGGAAGGGGTGCTGGTTCAGTACTGGTGCCCACGACCGCTTTCGTGACATTTGGGGTTGTGGAGGGGTGTGGGGAGGGGCAGGCACCCCCCTCCCCCACACCTGCACATGACCAAGTTCAAGGGTTTCTGCGTTCAGTCAATCTACATCGCGGGAATCGGTCCCTAAGGAAACTCCGAAAGGGGGAAACCCCGAAAGGCGGCTCCGATGGGTCTAAGACGCGACCCTGACCACCACAATCCATATGTGAACAACATGCAATTCTAAGCTCGCAAACTTAAAAAAAACTCTTCAAACTTATACCTTCCTCGGCCTTTTGGGTAAGTAAGATCAAGTGTAGTATCTGTTCTGATCAGTTTAAGGTCTGATCCGTCGTGATCCATCGGGCCACAACGATATTAAATTAATTTTTCTGGGCTATGGAGGGGTCATCCGGGTGAGCTTGCTTGCTCGACCTCCAGCGTTGCCTCTGTATCGCACTGCAGCAGAGTGCGGTGCAGCCCTTCTTTCCTCCAGGGGAACAACAAAAAAAGTAATCCCAAGAATCTCCCCTGTAGCTCTAACCGTGTATATACACTTCGTTGAGTTTTTCCGACTACTACTTTAATAGACGCATCATGAGATCCAATTCTCACAGAATACCAATAAAAAAGCAGGGCAATTAAGGAGGCTAAGGTTCTACTTTACTTGTAGAATAATGGAGTTCTACTTTACTTGTAAAATAATGGAGTTGAACTTCTACTTTACTTGAAAAATAATGGAGCAGAATAATGGAGCAGTCAATCCCCTCTTTAGAGCACAATCGATGCTGCGACCAGGCGCTGATACACTGGTGATCAGATGGCAGGCAATCCTCGCAGCTGAGGGCACCCAGCCACGTGGTCATGGTACTCTCTCTTGATACACTGATGATCAGATGGCAGGCAATCCTCGCAGCTGAGGGCACCCAACCACGTGGTCATGGTACTCTCTCTCGATACACTGATGATCAGATGGCAGGCAATCCTCGCAGCTGAGGGCACCCAGCCACGTGGTCATGGTACTC